GATCCATTTCTGCAGTGCTTTTTGCGGTGCGTTTTTGCACATGCGTTTTTGATGCGGTTTTGTGTTTTTTTTTCTTGTTGCTAGGCAGAATAAAATGCAAAATGCACTACATGCTTTTCTGCAGCATCTCTATTGAAGGCTATAGAACCAAAAACACAACTTTTTTGTGTTTAAAAAAGTCCCTGATCCTCTCCAAAGAATGCACGGGGTGAAAACGCAGAGATGTGAACCTGTCCCATAGGAAATCGTGTTAAACGGACTGTAGTGCGTTTCTGCAAAACACTGTGGAAAAAATGCTTAGGTGTGAACCTAGACTAAGTAATTTCAGGCATTATATGTTCTTCCTTTTGTATATCAGTCCGTCTATCTGTCTCCATGCCAATGCATTCTCTATACATTATATGACATAGTACAAATTAACAGATTGTTTCATTTACTCAAGACACCTTCTATGCTCAGTGAAGTAAAAGTCATTATTTGGACAGCAAACCTGCAACTTCTACTCTAACAGACCAAATATTATGTTCTGCTATTGATTATCAGCAAAGCGATATCTCCTGTAATAAAATGTCATTTCTTCACATACAAACCCTGCTGTCATCTCTAGAGTTGTTTTTCACTATGGCACAGGTGATAATATTTTTAGAGGAAAGGATTGGAAAATATATTAAATAAGAAAGCAAAACAGAAGAAAAAAAATCAATGTCAACTGACCTGAGACAAGCAAGTTATACCCGGGTCAGGGAAGGAGTTGAAGGCTAGGAACCGCTCTTATCTTGGACCCTCAGAGTCAGGAAGGAGAATCATATAATGAATTTCAACAAGGAATGTGGAAAAGCAGCCAAAGTGGTGCAGCAAAGTGGTTAATAGGATCATTAGCCTAGTTGCTGTATTTTTTTGGACATTGTATGCCCGCACCACAGCGCTGGAGAGCAGATTGTAGGAACAGGCTGACAGTTACTAGCTAACTCAGCAGTGCTGGGTGCAAACTGCCATCTTCCTGCGGATTTACAGCTGCCACTTCTGCTAGTTCAATTAGTTCTATAGCACACAGATGTTGCTTAAATGTTGCTGCTAATGATACTGCAATAAGCGTAAGATTCATGCCATATTTTGAGGCACGTAAATTTCTCAAGTGGCACAATTAAAGTGAAAATATTAGGTGGGGAGGACTTGGCAGTCTATGGAACTTGGAAAGCGCACCCGCTATGCAATAATGGGTCAAAAATTCATTCAAGTTTTACTGCTGTTCAGAGTTTTAAAAGACTTTTTCACAGCTGAATGCAAAGTGGAAGAAAAAAAAAAAAAAAAAAGCATTAGGAAACAAGCGTGCGCCTCTGCTCTTATAACATGACTTTTTATTTTAACCCAACGCTGAACATTGACAAGTGTGGCTGATAAAATAAAATTTAAAAATGAAGCTATAAAATGTGTAAGATGATCAGTTGGTATTAATGACTTATTATTTGCAGTCTGCTGAGGTGATGTGGGATAGAATTGGCTCCTCTGGGCTGTAAAATGCAATTGTGAAAATGGAACTGTGTGAGAACTACAGCACACGTTGCACGTCTTTCTAGTCCTACATTCGTGCACTATCAATCCTTTTGAATGAGACATTAACATTTTCAGTAGCTGTATGGGCAATGTTCTATTGTGTTGTGTCCTGTTCTATTGTGGTGTCTTCTGCACTTGACATCCAGAGACAGTCAGAGCACAGGACCTATGCTGCATCCAATGGTATATTCCACATCTAACAAGAACAACTAAAAGGAAAATGCTAGGAGGGACAAATCCTGACAAAAAAAAGTCCCCTTTTTCCTAAAATTTTTTTTCTTTGTGTATTCTTGCTGCTCAGTGAAGCAGTCTTTCCTGGATCATGTCCAGTAGCTGTAGAATGCTGAGAATGGGCACTAGTGCTGGATCACTATAAATGAGCAGCACAGTGGCTAAATGGTTAGCACTTCCGCCTGGCAGTACTAGGGTTACTGGCTCATATCCCAACCATGGCACCACCTGCCTGGAGTTTGCATGTTCTCCCTGTGCCTGCGTGGGTTTTCTCTGGGTACTCCGGTTTCCTCCCACACTCCAAAGACATGCTGGTAGGTGAATTGGCTCCTGTCTAAATTGGTCCTAGTATGTGAGTGTATGAATGTAGGTTAGGAGCCTTAGATTGTACACTCCCTTGAGGGATAGGGAATGATGTGAATGTACAATATATATGTAAAGCGCAGCGTAAATTGACGGAGCTATATAAGTACCTGAAATAAATAAATTAAAATACTTACTAAAGCTGATTTACTCAGAATCACGTGCAGTTGTAATAATAATAATAACTCCATTGACCACCTAATGGCTAAAGAAAGATGATAGACCCAGAAAAACTGCAGAGAAGATGGTATCAGCGGGCATAGATTTGTCAATGGTGGAGGAGAGCTGACTAGGGGCCATAATGTGCCAGTATCCCATGCATACTTCTACACTATGACAAGAGCCCCTTTGCAGCTGATGATTTAATTCTACTTTAAAGAGAGTTTGTCATGAGAGAACCATGGAGGTTGCAATGGCAAACCTTTCACTCTGCAAATGTGAGTTGCCTGGCTGTTGAGAGGGCTCTTTGACTTCAATATTTTCAAGTCAAGGTTTTTTTTGTCTTTCCTAGAATACATACTTGCCCTAGGCCAATGATACAGAAAATATTAAACCACAGACAACCAGGCACGTTGCATTTTCAGAATGAGGTTTGCATTGACAAGCCCCTTGTTTTGGCTTATGACAGAGTTAAACAGCAACCAGGGGTGGACTGACCATTCTAGAACTCGGGCACTGCCCGAGGGCCCGGGGTCAGTAGGGGGCCCCATGAAATGCCCCTGGTACCTTTTTATAGGCTTTTTTTGAGTGTGGGCAAGGACACAGGGGCCCCATGATCCCCTATTGCCCGGGAGCCCCATGAGTTGTCAGTCCGCCCTTGTCAGCAACTATAAATTTAGATTGTGCTCGGTAAAAAAAGGTGTTCACCACAAGGTACAGGGTGCATTGCAACAGTCAGAAATGAAGAGACAGAACGCCTGCTGAGTCACCCCAGGTTCACACCTAAGCGTTTTCCGCAGCGTTTTGCAGAAACGCAGTACAGTCCATTTAACGTGATTTCCTATGGGATACGTTCACATCTCCTGGTGCGTTTTTTTGGAAAGGGTCAGGGACTTTTTTGAATGCAAAAAGTTGTGTTTTTGGTTCTATAGACTTCAATTGAAATGCTGCAGAAAAGTATGTGATGCGTTTTTGATGCGTTTTGCATTTTAAAACTGCCTAGCAACAAGAAGAAAAAAAAAGCAAAACGCATCAAAAATGCAGGCGCAAAAACGAAATGCAGAAACGGCTTGAGCTCAACCTGCATAGGTGTGAACCTAGCCTAAGACATTGCTTACAAATCAACATATTTTTAACCAGTTGTGCAGTTAATGCTGGAAATCATTGGAGGTCAGGGAGAGGTGTAACGTGAAGGAACATTTAGTTACTTTTCAGTTCTTACACATGTGCATGAACTGCTAGAGCAATGGAAGCCCCATAAACAGCATGTGATTTTTTTTTTTTACTCTGTGCAGAAAGGACTGACATTTCCCATTTTGTTATATGGTGCAAACATGAATAATCAGAATTTTTCTGACATCTGGGCTCATCATCAATTTCTTGCATTACCTTAATAAACATGAGATGAAATGCAGCCTATTTCACTGAGAAGAAAGATTTAAATGTTCCACATAAACCTGGCCACACACATTACAATCTTTTAAATTAGTGTGTGAGTCTCTCTATATTGATATAGTGTACATAGAATGAATTGTTTTAAACTATAGTGTTTTTGAAAAATCTAAAAGATATTGTACAAAGTCTGTTAAATCAAATTGTAATATGTGTGGCCAGCTTTGTGTGATTGTTCCTTCTGATGAAAGGTTGTACTCAGCCCCTTCATATATTCAGCCTAATTGTATAAAGACTTAGTATCATGTAAACCCATAATATTTTAACTAGTATGAAAAGGTTTTTTTGGTGGTCATTAGTGAGTACCCTAATTAGAATGATAGTAATCATTAATTGCAGATCATTACACATTTGTGTAATTTGTACTTTGCCTTCGGCACCTTGCCAACTCACCAACTCATACTTGGCTTAGCTACTCGTTTTTAGACTCGGCACCCTGATACTGTGCAAATCATGGCTTAAAATGTTGAAGATTTTCCAATTTAGCAAGTGTATGTATATGTGTAATGTTTATCATAAGAGCTATTTTGTAATGTAATCTGTTATTCATGGACAAAAACCCCCAAAAAACAAAATAGAATGCAAAATAAATGTTAAAAGAAGACTGGATTGTAGCATGTTGGTCTTAGGCCCCTTTCACACAATGCGGACTGCGACTGGGATCTGCTTGCTCAGCAGGGGATCTGTCTGCTGATCCCCACTGAGCAGGCAGATGACAGGTCTGTGTCCACTCTGCTTATGCAATGCAGACAAGGACACAGACCACTCTCCTCTGTGGGTGGTTGGAAGTAAACAGACCACCTGTCTGTTTACACCCAACTGCCATCCCATCCAATCCACTGGAGAGAAGGGTAAAGGATCCCCATACGTCTCTTTTTGGCTGTAGGCAGGTGTAAACAGACACATCTCTGTTTACACCCACCACTCTCTGGAAGAGAATAGTGGTTCTGATTGGGTCCACCTGAAAAATGGAGAGGCAAACCCGATCAGAACATCCTTGTGAAAGGGGCCTTCACATGATTACACAGAACATTGTAGTGCTGTAGTGTTGGTCATTACATGTATATCTAAACACATATTGGTATGTGGAGTGTAATTTGGATCCACTTATGGGCATGAATATATATATATATATATATATATACACATTATATTGCCAAAAGTATTGGGGCATCCCTCCAAATAATTGGATTCATGTGTTCCAATCACCTCCATCTCCACAGGTGTATAAAATCAAGCACCTAGGCATGCAGACTGCTTCTACAAACATTTGTGAAAGAATGGGTCGCTTTCAGGAGCTCAGTGAATTCAAGCGCGGTACCGTGATAGGTTGTCACCTCTGCAATAAGTCCATCCGTGACATTTCCTTGCTACTAAATATTCCACAGTCAACTGTTAGTGTATTATAACAAAGTAGAAGCAACTGGAAACAACAGCAGGCTACATGGTAGGCCATGTAAAATGATAGAGCGGGGTCAGCACAAACTGAAGTGCACAGAAATCGCCAACTGTCTGCAGAGTCAATAGCTAAAGACCTCCAAACTTCATGTGGCCTTCAGATTAGCACAACAGTACATAGAGAGTTTCATGGAATGGGTTTCCATGGACATATAGCTGCATCCAAATCCTACATCAGCAAGTGCAATGCAAAGCATCAGCTGCAGTGGTGTAAAACAAGCCAGTACTGGACTCTAGAGCAGTGGAGACGCGTTCTCTGGAGTGACAAATCACACTTCTCTGTCTGACAATCTGCTGAACATGTCTAGATTTGGTGGTTTCCAGGAGAACGGTACTTGCCCTGACTGCATTGTGCCAATGTAAAGTTTGAGGGAGGGGGGATTATGGTGTGGGGATTGTATTTCAGGGGTTGGACTTGGCCCCTTAGTTCCAGTGAACAGTACTCTTAAGGTATCAGTATACCAAGACATTTTGCACAATTTCATACTCCCAGCTTTGTGGAAAAAGTTTGGGGATGGCCCCTTCCTGTTCCAACATTACTGCGCACCAGTGCACAAAGCAAGGTCCGTAACAACATGGATAAGTGAGTTTGGAAAGGAGGAACTTGACTGGCTTTCACAGAGTCCTGACCTCAACCTGAAAGAACACCTTTGGGATGAATTAGAACGGACACTGTGAGCCAGGCCTTCTCGTCCGACATTAGTGCCTTACCTCACAAATGCGCTTCTGGAAGAATGGTCAAACATTCCCATAGACACACTCCTGAACCTTGTGGACAGCCTCCTGTTTCATTTTGACCCATAATTTTGTATCCTGATGACAGCACCAGTTGACAGGTCTGATTAGATGGTATAGATTTATGTCAAGGAGGACTATCCTGTCATTGTGCTTTACTTGTGACTTTGAGTCACGAGGGTATAAATAATCTAGCTTTTCCTTGGTGCATTTGTATGAGATGAATGTGGACTGAAGTTGTGCAAAAAAGGAGCGGAGGATCTTAATTGGAAGAAGCTGTAGAAGGTACAGGTAACAACACATTAATTTCAAGTGCATTCCAATGGCGAAACTGTGTTGGGGTCAATTTGTGCCACAACTTTTGTCCATTTTGATTTCAGCCAGTAGGGGGAGAATATTATACTGCTAAAGTTAGTTTATGTTAGCAGATATGAAAGTTCCCAGGTATTTAACTCTAGGGTCCATTTAAATGGAACATGGGGTTTGAGTTTTGCCAGAGTCTTGTTCTATGTGACGTTAATGTTTAGAGCCTCAGATTCTGTGAGGTTTATTCTATGCTACAAAAGTATTCAATGGTTGTATATTACGGTTGGATCTTTCAGTGCATAGCAATAGATCCCAGTTACATATAAAGGTCAGGGAGAGAGTGGTACCTCTGGCAAATACTGCTGGTTATAAGCAAGTATTCTGATCTCATTGGTTCTAACAGTTGCCTGTGGGAGCACAGTGCCATTATCTATGACATTACGTGGTATCCTTGGCAGCTGGTAGGATTGGATAATTTTAGACATGTAAGAGACTAAGCACTTTATTTGCTTTTGGGATAACTGAAATGTGGGCTGTAAGTATGTCTGGACTGTCAGGATAGGGTGCTGTTGTAAAATAGCTTTTTAACAGTGTGGTGTCCAGACCTCTCAAAATATCTTATAGTATGGTATGGAAAGGCCGTGAGGGCCAGGAGCTTTATCTGGTTTAAATGAGGAGAGAGCCAGGCCTAGCTCCTCCCGGATAGAGGGGCTTCTAAGCTGTCTCAGTCTTCATTGGAGATTGTAGGGATGCCTGAGTCCTGCAAGTATTTCAAGATCTTTTCTTCTTGGCTATGTTTTGCCTGCGATTGGTATGGATTTCAGAAAGTTATATAGCCGCATGTTGGAAACCTGCAAGCAATGTCTGAAGATGTTTTATAAGTATCCCTCTGATTGTACAGTTAGTTATGGGCCTCCCAGTTGGCATTTGGGTTGGTGTTTCTGTTAACTGATGTGCTTCTGTGATCCCTGTGAAAAAAATAGTCTAGCTATGAGTATGCCTGATGTGCTGATGAAAAGAAATAATAGTCTCGGTCTTAGAATGCATAAATCTCCAGGTGTCTACCGGGTGATGAGAGAATTCTACTTTAAATTTTATAAGGCAAACAAGGGAAAGGATGAGATGGGATGGGAGGGTCCTCTAGAGATTACTGTCTGGGGGTCCTAGGTAAAATTGCAATTGCCCCTTAAGACCAGGATTTCTTCCGTCAATTCAGTTAAAGTGGAGCTCCAGCCAAAAGGGGAAATTCCGCTTTAAGCACTGATCCCCCACTCTGCTTTAAGCTGTCAAGGACCATTTTAAGGAATGAAAGCTGGTCCATGTTGGGGAAGTATGTATTGGTGTGGGCAACCAAGCAATCTTGTACAGAGCCTGTCACAAAAGATTAAGTGAACTTGATGGTCCAAAAATGGACCGTGGGATCATTGGGGAAGGTTAAGCCAATTATAACATGAAACATTTTTTTTGCACTATGTTTGGTGGACGTCTTTAATTAACAATACAGCAAAATAGTGTTCTATTTACCTATACTACACCCAGGTAACTCTTTATAGGCTAAAACAAAATGTATTATAAGTAAAGGGTGATGAAGTGCGAAGGGTCGGACACATGACAAGTGCTCCAGACTCCTTGTGGATCTGAGAAAATGGGAACTAATGTTGACACATTTTAAATGGAATAACATCCCCAAATTATGCAATCTGCACTTTTGAATGGCCTATTACAACCCTTCCCCAATGATCCCACGGTCATTTTTGGACCATCAAGTTCACTTAATCTTTTGTGACAGGCTCTGTACAAGATTGCTTGGTTGCCCACACCAATACATACTTCCCCAACATGGACCAGCTTCCATTCCTTAAAATGGTCCTTGACAGCTTAAAGCAGCGTGGGGGATCAGTGCTTAAAGCGGAATTTCCCCTTTTGGCTGGAGCTCCACTTTAACTGAATATTAATTCATTAGTTTTAATATTATTAGTTTTAATAGACCATTCAAAAGTGCAGATTGCATAATTTGGGGATGTTATTCCATTTAAAATGTCTCAACATTAGTTCCCATTTTCTCAGATCCACAAGGAGTCTGGAGCACTTGTCATGTGTCCGACCCTTCGCACTTCATCACCCTTTACTTATAATACATTTTGTTTTAGCCTATAAAGAGTTACCTGGGTGTAGTATAGGTAAATAGAACACTATTTTGCTGTACTGTTAATTGAAGACGTCCACCAAACATAGTGCAAAAAAAATGTTTCATGTTATAATTGGCTTAAAAATGTACAAACCTATCTATAGCAAAAATTGTATATATTGGTACAGATAAAAACTATGCTGTTGTAGAAAGAGAAATCCCAGCATTCCACCTTCATAGTGTATGCCAGAGTAAGCTTCCCCCCCGTTGTAGAAATGATACTGTTAATAGATTTTTCTCCATTCTAGAACTGTGACAACACTGCTGTTCTTATTTATCAGTGTCTTGTGATTGTTGTAGCAAATATGTTTATTTTCTTAGCAGCTGTTGGCACATGATTGGATGCTTGCCTTCCAAACTAGTTAGAGTTCAGTGTTATTGACACAAGTATAGCAAAAAAAAAACAAAAAAACATAAATGAAAGTGCTCTGTGACATTATGCAATGTGCAGGGTAGATGTTAGTGGCTGACTCCCTGTCTTCTCCTTGATAAATGATCCTACATAAATCTCTGCCAAAAAGAGTTTCCAGTGTCATTCGGTACCTGGGGCACAGAGAGATGAGATTGGCACCACACCAAGATCTCCCAGTTCACAGCAAGGGAGAGATGGATTTATGCTCAGCCTTCCAGCACTGAGCACCATGGCCATTTTATGTCTTGTGGGAGGCCGAGCAGTTTAGGGACATATATGATCTGCAATGTGCATTGCCAAAATTCTCTTTTTTTTATTTTTCTGGTGTCCCATCATAATATGATTTCCTTATTAATTTGTGCACAGGAGCGCACATACCTGTATATTTACACATATATTTATGTGATAGAGTGTAAGTGAATACAGCATGATGACATACAGGGGGTTATTTACTGAAGCTGGAGAGTGCAAAATCTGGTACAACTCTGCATGGAAACCAATCAGCTTCCAGGTTTTATTGCCAAAGCTTAATTGAACAAACTGAAATTAGAAGCTGATTGGCTACCATCTAAAAGGATAACAATTAAACATACACAAGTGTAGGACAGTTTAACCACTTGCCTACCGGGCACTTTTACCCCCTTCCTGCCCAGACCAATTTTCAGCTTTCAGTGCTGTCACACTTTGAATGACAATTGCGTGGTCATGCAACACTGTACCATATGAAATTTTATCATTTTTTTTCCAACAAATAGATCTTTCTTTTGGTGGTATTTATTCACCACTGGGTTTGATTGTTTGCACTATAAACGAAAAAAGACCAAACATTTTGTTTCTATTATAAAATTTAGCAAATAGGTCATTTTTCTCCTTCACTGATGTGTGTTGATGAGGCAGCACTGATGAGGTGGCACTGATGGGCAGCACTGATGGGCACTGATATGCTGCACTGAAGAGGCGGCACTGGTGGGCATTGATGAGAAGGCACTGTTGAGACTGCACTGATGGTCACTGATAGGCAGCAATGATGAACACTGATAGGTGGCACTAATAGGCAGCACCGAAGGGCACTGATGGGAAATTTTGGGGCTGCACTGATTATTAGTGTAGATGTCTGCTTCCACATTTGCCGGTTATTGGCAGTACTTTTCTCACTCTGTGACAGCGTGAGGAAAGTACTGCTGATAACCGGCAAGTGTATTTACATGGTGATCAGCAGTGATTGGACACAACTGATCACGTGGTAAAAGGCCGCTGTAATTGGCCCTTTACCATGTCATGTGTCAAAGGACACAGCAATCACAGAGAACGCCGAGTGCACGCCACTGGGGGTGCATTCTGGGAGGACATCATATGATGCCCTCCCAAAACTGGACAACCGCACTTTAGCAGTCATTCGGCTATACTGGGGTCAAGAAGTTAACTAAAAACCCAGCCCATGAGATCGATCGATCGATCGATCTATCTATCTATCTATCTATCTATCTATCTATCTATCTATCCTGGTATATTAATAAAATGTGTATTTCCATATATGCAGGAGATCAGGAATTCTTTATCAGGGGCATCTATAGGTGGTATGGAAAAAACGTGTTTTTTAAAAAAATTGGAAGCCTGTTAACTATCACCTTTAGCAATACAGATGGTGCTGAGGCCTCTATCCTGTCTGTAATCAGATCACTCAACATGGGCATCTTCCCACCTCCCATATGTTGATAACTT